TTCTGTGAGGAACATAAATCCGAACTAATTTTCAATGACCTCATACTGTACCTCCCCCCACGCATTTACATTACATACAAGGTGTTTGGGTCCACTGGACCCAGGTCTAATAAAAGTGTTGAAAGTGTAGGTCCTGTGTTCCCACGCTCTGTCTTCCTCCTTTCTGGTGCTGCTGATAGTGTTTTCTTCCCCCCCCCTGCTCCCGCACAAAGTTGCAACATTGTTGAAAATCCAACTACCAACACCGTCTGCTCTGACATTCCTGCACATTTTACCCTCTTTCTTGAGGTATCCAAATTTTATTTTCTCATACCCTGTCCCACCTGCAAATTAGGGGCATAATACTATAAATAAGACTTTGCCAGTGTGGTTCTTTATCACAACTGATCAAGATGGCTAAAGATTATCTGCTGCGAGGGCCATCCAATTGATTTTGGAAGAGAGAGAGGCTTCGGATGATGATGTTGACAAAGAGGTTTCAGAATATTTCACATTTCTGAAAATTCAGAGTCTGACAGTGACTTTGAAAAAGAGGATGAGGTTGAGCACCATTTAGTAACAAAACGAAGACGAGTACCCCATCAGCAGCCAGCTCCAGGACCAGAACAAGCCCACCAGACAGCAAGTGAAGAAATATGGATGTCAATAACTGGTGAAATTGAATGGTCTTCTTGCCCAAGAAATGAGCCACCCTGCAGAGCTGTTACTGTGATAAGCCAGGGCCAACACGGCTGACAGTTACTCATGTGCAGGACATCAAGTCTTCATTTGAGCTTTTCATCCCAGATTCCATCCAGAAAATTATTCTGGATTGCAGTAATCTAGAAGGAAGGTGTGTTTTTGGAGAGAGGTGGAAGGAGATGGACCAAATTCATCTAAGAACCCCAAAGGCCTACTTTGGGGTTCTTATCCTTGCAGGAGTTTTCAGGTCCAAAGGGGAATCCACAGAATCCCTGTGGGATGCAGAAACCGGCAAGAACCTTTCCGTGCATCAATGTCTCTGGAAAACTTCCACAAAATTTCCAGGATTATCCGTTTTGATAACCGAGACGACAGACCAGCTCGACGGCAGAGAGACAAGCTAGCTGCCATCAGGACAGTGTGGGATAAGTGTGTGCACCACCTCCCCCTGTTTTACAACCCTGGGCCTAATGTCACCATTGATGAGCAGCTGATCCCATTTAGTTGTGAAACATATTGCTTCACGTGTAAATGTGTTGTGTCTTTCCACTCACTCCACTTGATTATAACTGATTTATTTTTTTATAACATTTTATATAAAAAAAAAAAAAAGAGAAGCACATTAATTCATAAATGTGATCTAACAAAGGTAAAGGGAAAAAATTAACCATGTTTGCTGTTCATATGTCTTGTAATTGGGATGAAGTAAACATCTGTTTAGTAATTTAACATAAAATTGTTTGATAGTGTTAATTTGGAAAGCCAAAACTCTAGCGGGTCCACCAGACCCATGAACACTGGCTGAGTAACAAAAATATGAACACCACACAAGGGTTAAGACTCTCTGCAGGTCCTTCCCCTAATGAAGAGTAGTGAGCTGCTGATTGGACCGTGGAACACATGACTGCGTTCAAAAAGCCGCTCTGACAGCTGCCGAAGGAGAGAGAGAAGCGAGCAGATTTGACAGCAGACGCGGACATGGCCCTGGTTTCCAACTTTTAGCGTGATTTTGTATCTATGTAAGCGCGCTCTGTGAAAGCCGCCACTGGTGTGTAAACTCAGTGCTTATGCGTGCCTAGGCTGAAACTGAAGGGGTGAGCCGCCTTTTCTTTTGAACAGTTTTCTCCTGTTTTCTGGGCTAGGAAGCGAGGGATAGTATTGTCATTTGTTTGTTTTGTGTCTTTCTTAGGGCTTAGTTTCCTTTGGCGGGACTGAGTTGGTTTTGTTTATTATTTTGGCCTGGGTGCACCCTGGAGCTATTCTTCCTGACAATAAATAAAATCACATTTTTACGCATAACCGGTTTTGGATGTTTGGCTCAGGAACCAGGGCGGGTACTTGCCTCTCTCTCCTCCAACCTTATGTGCGTCTCTACACGCCCAGACTAGGGGCGTAACATAAATGGGGGCTCGTCCAAAATTGAAAACCCTGGGGGACAGGGACTTTGTGGACTGGTGTTTGCTTTGAATGGTCAAAAAGGACTGAAAAAGCATTGCACACACTTCAGTGCCTTTAATTTTGTAATTGTAACAATTTGTCACAGGTAACATCTCCAATACTAGCTAAATTCCACAACTGTCGATCATCAGAGCCCATGTTTTTTAGTTTCATTCAGCTTTAAGCATAATGTCATACCAGAGATCCTGCTGCATGACACAGCAACAAAATCAGAGTTTTCCTGTGAGTTTTACGCTTTTACAAAAACCAGAACAACTTGCTTAATGCTGGTTGAAACTACACCACACACAAAAATCCTATACAAATCTCCTTGCCTGTTTTGTTTGGGGTTACACCAGCATGGAATTACCAAAAATAGAGAGGGGATAGCCTATTTAAACATAGTTTTTGCTCTGTGGTTCACTTCAGATTCTGTGGAGGGCAGTTGTCATTTAGAGAGGGCTGCTGGGACTCCACACACACGCACACATGGACACACACACACCCACACACACAGTCCTCCCACATAGGTGTGTTTTTCTGTAACTTGTTGTTTGATTAGACCTCTTGTCAGGATCATGTGGGCGTGTATGAACTGTACTTGCTTGGTGTTAGTAATTCTCCAGTTAATTTTTTTTGCACCTCTCAGGGCAGAACAACTTACCCTGTTACCAAATGGGCACAGAGCCTCTTTGGCCTGCCTTCGAGTCCTTTTCAACACAGAACACTAGCACACACATATTTTGCAGGCCTTGTAGAGGCTGAATGATAATAGAAAAGGTTGGTAGGAAGTCTCTGCTAACACCTAAAATCTGTGAAAGGATAAAATAAAGTTCATCATAACCTCTCAACCTCCTGCTGCTGTTTGATTATCACATGATAGAGATGCAGTGTCAGACTCACGGCCATTGTGCTTTACGGCTTATTGCTGGCTTTGCAAATCACATACACTACTGTTCACTCCATATGGCTCTAAGCATTCCCATTGGTTAGCTTTCATATATGAATATAAATCTTTGAAATGTGCACAATTGGTGTAACTCTAAGTATGAGCCAAAAGATGGGAACAGTGCACTGGACACAAGTGCCACAGAACTGGATGTTAACCTTTAAAGTTTAGTAAAGTCAGTAAAAGCAGAAACAGTGTCACATGTCAAAAGAAACATGTCACCAGCTAAAATTAAAAAAAGAAGAAAAGATCATTTAATGCCATTATAATGATCAAAACTGACTGGCTGTGTTACCACCAGTGTTGGGACTAATGCGTTATTAAGTAACGCGTTACAGTAACTACGTTATTATTGTGGTAACGAGCACGGTAACTAGTTATTATGCCAAAATCAGGAACGCGTTACTCGTTACTGGGATTTAGATAGGCTCGTTACTTCGTTACTTCGTGTGGTGGCTATCGCGGAGCTTCCACAGATTCAGTAACATTAGCAAGTGGTGGAGGCCAGCAGGTGGATGAGGGAAAGGGGAGGCAGGAGGAGAGACCCGAGGCGGCCGCCGGTCCGAGTGTGAACTGAACTTCAGGTAAGAAGTTATGACCTGCAGTCTATCTGGGTCAGATATAAACCAAGTTTAGGTGGAGTTTATTTTCGTTATTCTGACTTTTTCCGTACTGCGTACTAGCTAGCATGACGGAGTTTCTATACAGCTGGGTGGGTGCTATGATGTTACTGATGTTGAACTTTATTTTGTTCATAAGGTTAATTATTAGAGTTGCCAACCGTCCCGTAAAAAACGAATCGTCGTATTCAGAGAAAATATTACGCGTTTCTTATTGAGGTGAAAAGGAACAGTTTGTCCCGTAATTCAGCTACAATGAAAAAGACACAAAGCTGGAGTTATTCTGTGTCTTTGCTGCACAGCTGCCTCTTCTTCTCTTCATTCTCCCCCCTCCCTCTCCCGTTTCTACTTCAATCATGAAACTGATCAATGATCAGCTGATCGGCTCTCTTGTTTGTTTATCGCCACTTTGCGCCAGAAAGAGGAAACCAGCGGATGTCGCGCTAAACAACAGCAGCACGTTTAAGCTTGATCAGCTGTTGTTAGAATTTATTTAATATTAATTTCTAGTATCAGCTGATGTTTGCTGGAGCCACAGCTGTAAAGCTGCTGGTCATGATATGGTTTGGATATGTGGTGAGAGGGAAACATGAAGATGAAACCAGGAGATGTCCTTACTGGATCATCAGAGCTGAACAGGTGATGGAGAAACAGGTTTACCTTTTAGGTGACATGAATGAGTTGAAGTTATGAACTGTTTCTGAGAGACAAATAACACCAGGATCCTTTTCTAAGTAGCTGACAGCTGGTAACTGTGCAGGGGCGGGTCTAGCAAAGTGTTGCCAGGGGTCCATGTAGGGCATTAACAGGGAGAGGGGGGCACAAAGAAATACTTTTCTTTCTTATTCTCATTTAAAATGTCTAGCTTTTAAAAAATAATTATCTGAATCTTACAACAAACGATTGATAGATTGATGCATATATACCATCAAACAGTGTACATCACTGTCACAACAGCGTTTGTTTTCATTCAAATGTCATGGTCCTGGGCCGTGTTGGCCCAGTGTTCTTAGTTCTTTTGTATTTTTGTATTCAATCCCCTGTTTAGGTTCTGTTTCCTGGGTTGCCCTGTTATGTTGTTCCCTGTGTGCTTTCCTTTTGTGACTCTCACCCCCGTGTGCCCCTCTGTGTATCTGTGAGCCCTCGCCTCTCCTTATGTTTTATTCCATGTTTCCCCAGCCCGTTATGTCTGTTTTCCCCGTGCTCTCTCTCCTCCTGTCTGAACCTCTGTGCACTTCCTGTTTACTTTGTGACTCTCACGCCTGTACATGTCATGTTCAGTTCACCCCGCCCTGCCTCGTTATGATTATCAGTGTCACCTGTGTTCCCCGTGTGTTCCCACTGTCCTCGTTAACCCTCGGTGTATTTCTGTCTGTGTCTCCCTCTGTTCGGCGTCGCGTTCTCCCTCATGTTGTGTGGATCTCCCCGTGTCTGCCTTCAAGTGGTAGTTTACGTTTTTCCAGTTTAAGTTTTGCATATCCTGTGTTCCGTCCTGCCAGCATTAAAGCTGCGTTTTCAGTTATCCCCGTGTCTGTGAGTTGCATCTTGGGTCCTTCTCCCGCCTGCCGCACAACGCACCATGACAGAAGAACGCGACCTTGACATGGACCCAGCAACCCACAACCCCTCCGCTGAGCTCCGGGAGGATTTGGTTTATACGGTGGAGTACCACTGTCAGGAGTGGGAGGCGCTACCAGGAGACGGACACCGGGAGGTCGTAGCCGCCCGTCTACAGCGGATGGTGTCCGGACTCCCGTGGCTGTTCGGCTCGCTGCACCCCCACATCCGGGACTTCCTGGTTTCCACCGTAGGCGTCCGCCCAGAGCTGCCTCTCCAGTGCGAGGAGCCGGAGGAGGTCCAGCCCGGCCCGCTGACGGATTCGCGGCCCGGCTCGTCTCCTCCACCATCCCGGAGAAAACGGCGTTCACGCCGCCGACGCACCACCCCACAGCTGGACATTCGGACTCCTACGTTACCTGCGGGGGTGAGTGAGGACTCTGCATCTCTCCCTAACGGTGAGACCGTTCGCTCAGGGGCTGTGTTCTGCGTGGCGGATGACAACACGAGCAGCTTACCGCCTGTCTACGCTACGCGGCGCACAGGGATGCCAGAGGCCAGCGACTTTGGCGAGGAAGAGCGGCGGCAGGTGTTACAGGCTTATCGGGAGGACGAGCTCCGGTGGAAGCCCTGGCTCATCACGGAGGAGGACCTCTCACCTGCTGCACAGCCTACCAGCCGCTCGCCGTCTCCGATCCGCTCAGACGTCACTTCGCCTGCCTCGTTTCTGGCAAGGATGTGGGAAGGAGACTGGGAGAGCGCCGCTACGTCACCCTCTACATCGGTGCCATCAGCTCCCATCGCGCCGGCTTCCTCTGCTCGTAGGAGGCGGCGCGCCCGCCGCCATAAACTGGACAATACTAACACTACGGGACATGAAGTGGACGGCGGGTTCATTTTCGATAGAGCCGTTTTTGTCGACCCTGAGCCTGCCGTTTCTCGGACTGTTGTTCCTGAGCCTGCTCCTTTTCCTGTTTGTATTTCACCTCCCAGGTCTGTTCAGTTAGCTCCCTCGCAGCCACCCTCAGTTCAGTCGGCTCCCCTCCTGGAAAACTCCGCTACCTGGTATTCACTGCATCGGCATCTTTTCCCCTCAACATTTGTTGCTAAATCATTCGACCCTCCCTTAAGAAAGAGACTGTGTCCTCGCTGCCTTCACCCCGGTACACCAGTGTCACCTACCCCACAACCACGTTCAGCTCAGTCTCCAGTGTCCCCCGTTACAGCTCTGTTCCCAGAGCCACCCGTCACAGCTCAGTCTCCAGTGTCCCCCGTCACAGCTCAGGTCCCCGAGCCACCCGTCACAGCTCAGGTCCCCGAGCCACCCGTCACAGCTCAGGTCCCAGAGCCACCCGTCACAGCTCAGGTCCCAGAGCCACCCGTCACAGCTCAGGTCCCAGAAGCTCCTGAAGCCCAGGCCCGTGAGACAGCGAGAGGGGACCGCACGTCGGCTGTACAGGCCGCGTCTCAGCCTGCTGGGAACGGCGTGAGTCTTCTCTCCGCCTCAGGCTGCCTTCTGCTTCGGTCCCCATCCACGTCGGCTGGAGGGCCCGAGGGGCCCGTTCAGCTTCCTTCCACGTCGGCTGCACAGACCGTTTCTCAGCCTGCTAGGAACGGCGTGAGTCTTCTCTCCGCCTCAGACTGCCTTCTGCTTCGGTCCCCATCCACGTCAGCTGGAGGGCCCGAGGGGCCCGTTCAGCTTCCTTCCACGTCGGCTGCACAGGCCGTTTCTCAGCCTGCTAGGAACGGCGTGAGTTTTCTCTCCGCCTCCGACTGCCTTCTGCGTCGGCTGTCTCTCCCAGCTGGAGGGCCCGAGGAGCCCGTCCAGCCTCAAGCCACGTCTGCTGGGGGGCCCGAGCCGCCCGTCCAGCCTTCGCCTGCTGCCGCCTCAGAGCCTTCGCCTGCTGCCGCCTCAGAGCCTTCGCCTGCTGCCGCCTCAGAGCCTTCGCCTGCTGCCGCCTCAGAGCCTTCGCCTGCTGCCGCCTCAGAGCCTGCGCCTGCTGCAGCCTCTGAGCCTCCGTCTGCTGCAGCCTCTGAGCCTCCGTCTGCTGCAGCCTCTGAGCCTCCGTCTGCTGCAGCCTCGTCTGAGCCTCCGTCTGCTGCAGCCTCGTCTGAGCCTCCGTCTGCTGCAGCCTCGTCTGAGCCTCCGTCTGCTGCAGCCTCGTCTGAGCCTCCGTCTGCTGCAGCCTCGTCTGAGCCTCCGTCCTCGCCTGGCCCGGCCTCCGAGCCTCCGTCCTCGCCTGGCCCGGCCTCCGAGCCTCCGTCCTCGCCTGGCCCGGCCTCCGAGCCTCCGTCCTCGCCTGGCCCGGCCTCCGAGTCGCCTTCAGCCTCGCCTGGTCCGGCCTCCGAGTCGCCTTCAGCCTCGCCTGGTCCGGCCTCCGAGTCGCCTTCAGCCTCGCCTGGTCCGGCCTCAGAGTCGCCTTCGACGGCGCCCGGTCCAGCGTCGGCCTTTGCTTCTGCTCCGCCTGGTCCGGCTCCGGCTTCGGCCTCATCTTCGTCTGGCCCAGCCTCAGAGTCTTCGTCTGCTGCAGCTCCAGCCTGTGCTTCGTCTGCTGCAGCCTCAGAGCCTTCGTCTGGCCCCGCCTCGACTGGTCCTATGCCCACTGGGCCTCGGCCGGTACGCCTGGCACTGGTGAGCCGCCGCTGCCTTCCGCGCGGCCGGCCTCCGGACCTGCTCCCTCGTCTCCCTCGTCGCCGCCGCTGCCTTCCGCGCGGCCGGCCTCCGGACCTGCTCCCTCGTCTCCCTCGTCGCCGCCGCTGCCTTCCGCGCGGCCGGCCTCCGGACCTGCTCCCTCGTCTCCCTCGTCGCCGCCGCTGCCTTCCGCGCGGCCGGCCTCCGGACCTGCTCCCTCGTCTCCCTCGTCGCCGCCGCTGCCTTCCGCGCGGCCGGCCTCCGGACCTGCTCCCTCGTCTCCCTCGTCGCCGCCGCTGCCTTCCGCGCGGCCGGCCTCCCGAGACTGCTCCCTCGTCTCCTTCGTCGCCGCCGCTGCCTTCCGCGCGGCCGGCCCCCTGAACTGCTCCCTCGTCTCCTTCGTCGCCGCCGCCTTTGCCTCCCGCCGGCCGGCCTCCGGACCGGCTCTGCCGCCTGTGCCGCCCGCCTGGTCGGCCCCCCGACCGTGTGGCCCATGAACTTGTGTGCCGGTGGGCTCTGGGCCGGCCCCCTGAACTTTGTTTATCCCATGGTCTAGTGCTCCTGTGCTTTCTGTTTTTTTTTGGTCTGGACCCTCCGTCCTGGGCCCCCGCCGCCCGCCCTGGGTCGTTTTCTGTTGGGTTTTCGTTTTCCTGTGTTTGGGCTGTCTGGAGCCAGCCCTTGTGGGGGGGGTGATGTCATGGTCCTGGGCCGTGTTGGCCCAGTGTTCTTAGTTCTTTTGTATTTTTGTATTCAATCCCCTGTTTAGGTTCTGTTTCCTGGGTTGCCCTGTTATGTTGTTCCCTGTGTGCTTTCCTTTTGTGACTCTCACCCCCGTGTGCCCCTCTGTGTATCTGTGAGCCCTCGCCTCTCCTTATGTTTTATTCCATGTTTCCCCAGCCCGTTATGTCTGTTTTCCCCGTGCTCTCTCTCCTCCTGTCTGAACCTCTGTGCACTTCCTGTTTACTTTGTGACTCTCACGCCTGTACATGTCATGTTCAGTTCACCCCGCCCTGCCTCGTTATGATTATCAGTGTCACCTGTGTTCCCCGTGTGTTCCCACTGTCCTCGTTAACCCTCGGTGTATTTCTGTCTGTGTCTCCCTCTGTTCGGCGTCGCGTTCTCCCTCATGTTGTGTGGATCTCCCCGTGTCTGCCTTCAAGTGGTAGTTTACGTTTTTCCAGTTTAAGTTTTGCATATCCTGTGTTCCGTCCTGCCAGCATTAAAGCTGCGTTTTCAGTTATCCCCGTGTCTGTGAGTTGCATCTTGGGTCCTTCTCCCGCCTGCCGCACAACGCACCATGACATCAAAGGCTTTATGATTTTTCCTATAATGGTGGCCGGTCTCTAGTCAAAATGCCCGGGCCAATTTTTTGTCCCAGTCCAGCCATGTATGCAGCTCATCTGCAGTCTGGTGTTACCTACATCTTCCTATTCAGAAGGCAGAATTTCTGAGTACAATCAAAGCACCACGACTGCAGTTTTTGTGTTGGATGTAAAAAGCGCACATGACACAGTGACGTAGGCTAGAATCATGGCAGCGGTCAATGACGGTCCAGGCGTGGGATTTCTCTCGTGGAAATATGCACATTATCTTTTCCTTTCTATTGGTAGGTGGCACAGTGCACTGTGGCAAGTAAGCAAGCTAGAAGACTGGCAGTCTGGCTGGGTATCCAGTTATGGAAGCAACACATTAACAAGAGAAGTCTGAGTAAAACCAAAGTTACTTTCCCTAGTAACTAGTTACTTTGAAAGTAACGAGTAACTTTAAGTAACTAGTAATGTAACTAAGTTACTAATTTAAAGTAACTTACCCAACACTGGTTACCATATCATCAAATGGTGGCAATTAAATTTAAAAATCTCATCAGCAAGCTCAAATTTGACATTTGCTTAGCGTTTAAAGATAACTATATGGGAAAATTATTATAAACAAATGATGAGCCTGGGATCAAAATGTTGGTCAAAATGAAAACCTTTCAACTTATTTGGATTTTCTTTTTTCTCCATTGAATCACAAAAAAACTGTTAAAACATCCAAGACACCAGTGCTTGTTCCAGGGTAGACATTAAATTTGTGAGGTGAAGCCCAAAGTTTCAGCCCTAAAAATTTCATAACACTATTTGTGTGACTGTTCATGTGTATAATTGCTGCTATGTCTTGGTCAAGCCTTTACCTGAATAAATACAGCATATACTGATAAAATAGGCAGGATGCTTTAAACGGATTCAGACACTTTGCACTAAGTATCGAGTATTTGGCATAGGCAAAATGGAGTACTGTTATGTTAAGACATGGTCAAGACAAACAAAGGTGATTTAAGTGACTTTGAATGTGGGATGGTTGTTGGAGGCACAAGGGCTGGTTGGAGTATTTTGAAAAATTGCTGGTCTGCTGTGTTTTTACTGCACAACCATCTGTGAGGTTTGCAGACAGTGGTCCAAAAAGAGAAAAATATATAGTAAATAGCAGTTCTCTGGGAAGAAATGCCTCATTGATACCAAAGATCAAAAGAGAAGGGCTGCAGACTGCTTCGAGTCAACAGGACGGCAACTGTAAGGCAAATAACAGCTCATTACAGAGTTGGCACAAGAACTCTGAATGCACAGCACATCAAACCTGGAATGAGATGAGGCTACAGCAGAGGACTAAACAGGCTCACCAAATATGGACAACAGAGAATCAGAAAATCGTTGCCTAATTTGAAGAGTTGCAGCTTCTGCAGAATGTATGTATGGATCTAACCTTCCTCTGATAGGCAGTTTAGGGTGGCGTTTGCACACTTTGGGCCTCTTAGCATGAATAGAATATCATTTAAATGGCTATTTGAGCCTATCTGAGTATTATTGCAGATCTGCTCGTTGTTTTATAAGCACAGTGCACCCATCTTCTGATGGCTGCTTATCCGTTTGTTCAGTGATGACACGGCGAATCCTACTTCCGGGCCTAAAGTAGTCTGCGTTTAATATGGCTTTTGTGTTGTCCATCCATCCATCCATCTTCATCCGCTTTATCCGGGGCCGGGTCGCGGGGGCAGCAGCCTAAGCAAAGAGGCCCAGACCTCCCTCTCCCCAGCCACCTCCTCCAGCTTATCCGGGGGAACACCAAGGTTCTTCGAGGCAGTCCGAAAGTCTTTTTCCATGGCCTCCCCGAACTCTTCCCACACCCGAGTTTTTGCTTCAGCCACTGCCCGAGCCGCATTCCACTTGGCCTGTCGATACCTGTCGGCTGCCTCCGGAGTCCCACAGGCTAACCAAGCCCGATAGGACTCCTTCTTCAGCCTGGTGGCTCCCTTCACCTCTGGTGTCCACCATTTGGTTCGGGGATTACCACCACGGCAGGCACCAACCACCTTGTGGCCACAGCTCAATGCAGCAGCTTCGGCAATGGAGACGCTGAACATGGTCCATTCAGACTCAATGTCCCCAGTCTCCCTCGGAATGCTGTTGAAGCTCTGCCGGAGGTGTGCGTTGAAGATCTCGCGGTCTGGGGCCTCTGCTAGATGTTCCCAAAGTCACCAGATCTCAATATGTGTTGGAATGCAAGATTTGTATCACGGCTGTGCATTCGACAAATCTACACCAAGTGTGCAATGCTGTGCAATGAGGAATGTTTCCAGCATCTTGTTTAGTCTTTACCATGAAGAATCAAGGCAGCTTTGAATGCAAAACAGGGTCTAACCCAGTACTGGGAAGGCGTATGTGATAAATTGCCTGTGAGTGTACCAACCTGATGGAAGAGGTAGAAGCAGGGCGTTGAGTAATTTGAAGATTGTTGGTTTAATCCCTGGCTGCTTCAGTCTGCATGCCAAAATATCCTTGTCAGGGTACTGAACTCCAAGTTTCTCCAAGTGCGTTCATTAGAGTGTGAATGTGTGTGAATATTAGATAGTAGTAGTGCTTGTATGAATGCGTGTGTGACTGAGTGAAGGAGACTAGTGGTGTAGCACTTTGAGTGCTCAGACTAGAAAAGTTCTAAATAAGATCCATTCCATTTTCAGCGTAAGGGTCTAATTTGCTTTTAAATGTGTAAAATGTGTGTTTGCAGGATCATCAGTTTAATTCTTTACTAATGATGATCGTCAGGCTAAAAGCAACAGCTAATCAAAGGAGGAACAAACCAACTGGAAACTAAATATGTCGGAAACATCCAATGAAGCCTAACACAAGAAAGGAAACGTTATAGAGTGCATTCAAATGTTTAAATTCTGTTGGGTACAATAATATCTTTATTTTTACTGTTGCTTTGTTTGTTTCTTTGTTCCTCAAAAGCATGGTTTGAGGTCTTATCCTCATGGATAATTTTGTGTACCCCGCACATATACATGTACATGTTTACAGTAATACTTTGCAAAGATAAATTATTTCAGTAGTTGTTCTGCTCTGTTTTGTGTAAAATTACACATTTACTGCCGTGAACCTTGTCTATTCTGTCTGCACTCAGGTAGGTGGTTCCTTTGACGCAAAGGAAGTGCTTCAGATGACAGGGTAGTAAACATACAGTACATAATAGTGCTGAACTCTATTTGACAAGCAACCTCTGGGACACATGCAATATCTCATCAATGGTTACCCAGCAACAACAATGGTACCACAAGTAATAACAAGCAACCTTTCCAAGAAGCCTGGCCACAGGGGAAGCACCGAACCAAAAGGCGGCTGGTCACAACGTGCTGTAGGCAGTGTGAAGACATCCGATATTTTTCAGTAAATGGGTTCGTCACACAGTTAGATTCAACGTCATTGATTTATTGCTTATTTATTGATTTGTATTTTTATGGCATTTATAGACAGTATGCTGTGCAGATTTGGCAGCACAGGCCAGGCAACACATGCATGTTTCCTCAGATCTCGCTCTTCCAGCCTTTTTAACTTATCTTTCAATAAAGTAAATGCATAGGCATATTCAGATGAAACAATGACATAAAATTCACAGCATTATTCACCTTCAAGCATCTGGCATTTCTTATCTCTGTGTGACATACTGGTTTCAAGAAGTTTGCCATGTTTGTTGCTCTTGAGCGATATGCTAGTTTTTCTGCATTTAACTTTTTAAAAGACCTCCAGATTTCAAAGCCATGCTGTGTCTTTGGTCTGGTTTGGTTTGGACCAACTCTGCAGTGATAACAGGCAGGCAGAAAGACACTGCTGTAAAATTGCTGAACAACTCCTGTGGTTTTGATTTTTTTTCCTCTGGTTAGATCTGTTAGATGCATTTTGTATGAAAATTAAATGAAACTGTGAGTAGAAAAGAAATATTGTATTTCTAACAAAACCTCCCAAACTTGATCAGTGCGTATATACATATAATTCCCTTTTTTTAGACACAGCATTTAAATAGCTATTACAACTTAATTACCTCATCACCATGCAGCTCTGTGCTGGCAAAGTCACTTACTTCCAAAAACACTGAACTGTTCATAAAAGTATCACTCTTCTCTTATCAGTTAACCACAAGCACAACACACATTGTCACTTGGATCAACTGATGCTTTACTCCA